TTGTTCGTGGGCGGATCCCTGGTTTTCCGCCCACGAACAAGGATTTAAGGGTTTTCGTGGGCGGAGCCTCCGGGCAAAAAAAACCCTAAAAACCTTGTTCGTGGGCGGATCCCGGGCCGGAAAACCCTTAAATTCCTTGTTCGTGGGCGGATCCCGGGATTTCTGCCCACGAACAAGGATTTTAAAGGTTTTCCGAGCAAAAAACCCTTAAAACCACGGGTAGGGTTTAGGGTTTATAGAAATTGTTAAGGGTTTGGGTCCCAAAAACGTTTTGAACGAAACGTTTTGAACGAAACGTTTCGCCGAAACGTTTTGAACGAAACGTTTTTTTTTTTCGAACCATGTTTCCAAATTTCTTGGGGGCTGCGAAATGTTTTGAACGAAACTTTGGAGCGAGACGTTTTGACCGTCTTGGGGCTGGGGCGGGGGCTGAGGCTGGAGGCTGGGGCTGGTCTTTCAAATTTGTTGGGGGCTGCGAAACGTTTCGAGCGAAACTTTTGAGCGAGACGTTTTGACCGTCCTGGGGCTGGGGCTACGGGGGGGGGGGTTAGGGTTTAGGGTTTATAGAAATTGTTAAGGGTTTCGGTCCCAAAAACGTTTTGAACGAAACGTTTCGCCGAAACGTTTTGAACGAAACGTTTCGCCGAAACGTTTTGACCGAAAGTTTTGTTTTGCGAACCATACTTCCAAATCTCTTGGGGGGGCTGCGAAACGTTTTGAACGAAACTTTGGAGCGAGACGTTTTGACCGTCCTGGGGCTGGGGTTTGGGTAGCAAAAACGTTTTGAACGAAACGTTTTGAACGAAACGTTTTGACTGAAACGTTTTGACCGAAACGTTTTGACCGAAACGTTTTGAACGAAACGCTTTGGACGAAACGTTTTGAACGAAAATTTTTTTCGCGAACCATGTTTTCAAATTTCTTGGGGGGCTGGGGCTCTTGGGTGCCAAAAACGTTTTGAGCGAAACGTTTTGAACGAAACGTTTTGACCGAAAGTTCTTGTTTGGGCTGGGCTGTGGCTGGGCTGGGCTGCCTGGCTGGGCTGGGCTGGCCTAGGCTGGGTCGGGCTGCTTGGACTGGCAGGTGGGCTGGGTTGCCTGGGCTGAAGGTTGTAGAGAAATTGGTTTATCAAGAAGAATGTTCCGTTTTTGAGCTCCAGCTCAATGTTGGCCGGGCCGTACCGGTGGCTACAAGTTCGTAGAGAAACTGGTTTATCAAGAAGCATGTTCAATTTTTAACTTTTGTGTTTGGCCTTAGCGGTGGTTACAAACAAGGACAAGCAATTTCTATTTATTACTTTCTTGAGGGTTTAGGGTTTAGGGTTTAGGGTTTACGGTTTATAGAAGGTGTGTAGGGTTTGGGTGCGGAGTTTTGGCGGGTTTCGGGCGGGTTTTGGCGGGTTTTGACAGGGTTTTTGCTTTTGCTTTTTTGTGCAGGTGGCTTTGTTTTTTGCGGCCTCGAGCCTTGCCCTGCCCTGCCCCTGCTGTGCCCTGCTGTGCCCTGCTGGCTGTGCCTTGCTGTGCCCTGCGTGCTGCTGTGCCCTGCCCTGCCCTGCTCTGCCCCGACCCGTTTGCACTGCCCTGCCGCGATAGAAGTTGTGTAGGGTTTGGGTGCGGAATTTTGGCGGGTTTTGCCGTCTTTGTGTAAGCATTTTTTTGGGGTTGCCTGTGCCCTGCCCTCTCTTTCCTGCTTCCCTGCCCTGCCCTGCCTGGGCCCGTTTGCACTGCCCTGCCACGTTGTCCCTCTTCTATCTAGAAAACGCACGACGATGCGACACATACGCACAGCATTCGAATCTCTTTAGCAGTGTAAGGCGCTGGCTTTGTTTGTATCGGGTATCGCGGCGATGGGGCTGCTTGTAACGGTCTTGGGATCCATGGCTGGAGATTGATTCGTTCGAAAAGCTTGAGATGGCTGCGAAACATACATGGGATCTGCAATCGGGCCTTGGGGAAACGTTGCACATCTTGCAATGGATGCAATTGTAGATCTTGCAGTGGATGCACGCGACTAAAAATGCAGATTTTCACTTGCAGGCAAACACATACAGTCCGCACGGTGGCGAAGCTGGGCAGTGTTCCAAGCTTTTCTGGGGACTATTTCGGGCTTTCGTGGGGACTGTTTCGGGCTCTGCTGGGGAATGTTTCGGGCTCTGGTGGGGCTTGTTTCGACTCTCGAGGGGACTGTTTCGGGCTCTTGTGGAGGCTGTTTCGGGCTCTGGCGGGGACTGTTTCGCGCTCTCGTGGCGACTGTTTCGGGCTCTCGCGGGGACTGTCTCCGCGAGGACTGCTTCGGGCTTTTGTGGAACTGTTTCGGGCGCTCGCGGGGACTGCTTCGGGCTTTCATGGGGACTGCTTCGGGTTCTGCCGTCCAACACACACCTTCTATTTATCATTTGCTTGAGGGTTTAGGGTTGAGGGTTTAGGGTTTAGGGTTTAGGGTTTAGGGTTTATAGAAATTGTTAAGGGTTTGGGTCCCAAAAACGTTTTGAACGAAACGTTTTGAACGAAACGTTTCGCCGAAACGTTTTGAACGAAACGTTTTTTTTTTGCGAACCATGTTTCCAAATTTCTTGGGGGCTGCGAAATGTTTTGAACGAAACTTTGGAGCGAGACGTTTTGACCGTCTTGGGGCTGGGGCGGGGGCTGAGGCTGGAGGCTGGGGCTGGTCTTTCAAATTTGTTGGGGGCTGCGAAACGTTTCGAGCGAAACTTTTGAGCGAGACGTTTTGACCGTCCTGGGGCTGGGGCTACGGGGGGGGGGGGGTTAGGGTTTAGGGTTTAGGGTTTATAGAAATTGTTAAGGGTTTCGGTCCCAAAAACGTTTTGAACGAAACGTTTCGCCGAAACGTTTTGAACGAAACGTTTCGCCGAAACGTTTTGAACGAAACGTTTCGCCGAAACGTTTTGACCGAAAGTTTTTTTTTGCGAACCATGCTTCCAAATCTCTTGGGGGGGCTGCGAAACGTTTTGAACGAAACTTTGGAGCGAGACGTTTTGACCGTCCTGGGGCTGGGGTTTGGGTAGCAAAAACGTTTTGAACGAAACGTTTTGAACGAAACGTTTTGACTGAAACGTTTTGACCGAAACGTTTTGACCGAAACGTTTTGAACGAAACGCTTTGGACGAAACGTTTTGAACGAAAAATTTTTTCGCGAACCATGTTTTCAAATTTCTTGGGGGGCTGGGGCTCTTGGGTGCCAAAAACGTTTTGAGCGAAACGTTTTGAACGAAACGTTTTGACCGAAAGTTCTTGTTTGGGCTGGGCTGTGGCTGGGCTGGGCTGCCTGGCTGGGCTGGGCTGGCCTAGGCTGGGTCGGGCTGCTTGGACTGGCAGGTGGGCTGGGTTGCCTGGGCTGAAGGTTGTAGAGAAATTGGTTTATCAAGAAGAATGTTCCGTTTTTGAGCTCCAGCTCAATGTTGGCCGGGCCGTACCGGTGGCTACAAGTTCGTAGAGAAACTGGTTTATCAAGAAGCATGTTCAATTTTTAACTTTTGTGTTTGGCCTTAGCGGTGGTTACAAACAAGGACAAGCAATTTCTATTTATTACTTTCTTGAGGGTTTAGGGTTTAGGGTTTAGGGTTTAGGGTTTAGGGGTTTAGGGTTTAGGGTTTAGGGTTTAGGGTTTAGGGTTTAGGGTTTATAGAAATTGTTAAGGGTTTGGGTGCCAATAACGTTTTGACCGAAAGTTTTGACCGAAAGTTTTGACCGAAAGTTTTGACAAGAGTTTTGATTTTGGAACCATGTTTTGAAATTTGCCTGGGGGGGGGGGGCTGGGCCTGGGGCCTGGATTTGGGACTGGGCCTGGATTTGGGGTCTGGAGCTTGGATTTGGAACTGGACCTGGATTTGGGTCTGGAACCTGGATTTGGGGCCGGTGCCTTGATTTGGGGGTGTGGAACCTGGATTTGAGGCCTTGGGCCTGGATTTGGGACTGGGCCTGGATTTGGGGTCTGGGGCCTGGATTTGGGGTCTGGGGGCTGGGCCTGATTTGGGGTGGAGCCTGGATTTGGGGTCTGGGGCCTGGATTTGGGACTGGGCCTGGATTTGGGGCTGGATTTTGAAGCTTGGATTTGGGGTGGGCCTGGGGGCCTGGGTCTGGGGCCTGGGCTTGGAGGGCCTGGGCCTATTCTGGATTTGGGGTTTGGGGACTTGGATTTGGTGGATTTTGGGCCTTGGGACCTGGATCTGGGTCTGGGAAGGTGTGCCTGGATTTGGGGGCTGGGCCTGGATTTGGGTCTGGGACTTGGATTTGGGGTTTGGGGCTTGGATTTGGGGTTTTGTGCCTTCTTTGGGCTTGGATTTGGCGTCTGCTTGGGGCCTGGATTTGGGGTCTGGGAAGGTGGGCCTGGGTTGGAGGTTATGGAGAAATTGGTTTATCAAGAAGCTTGTTCAATTTTAAGCGGCGTGTTGGGCCGTAATGGTGGTTACACGTTTGTGGAGAAATAGGTTTATCAAGAAGCTTACTCAATTTTCAATCGGTGTGTTGGGCCGGCTGGGCTGGGCTGGGCTGGACCGGTTTGGCTTGGCTGGCTGGGCTGGCTGGGCTGAGTTGGTTGTGCGAAATTGGTTTATCAAGAAGCTTGTTCCGTTTTTGACCGGGCGGTTGTTTTGAGTTGGCTGGGCTGAATTAATGGTTGAGGTTGTGGTGGCTGATTTGAATTGGCTGGGCTGAGTTAATGGTTGAGGTTGTGGTTGTGCGAAATTGGATTATCAAGAAACTAGCGCCAGTTTAAACCGAAATGCTGGGCCCTAGCGGTGGTTGTAAACAAGGACAAGCAATTTCTATTTATCACTTTCTTGAGGGTTTAGGGTTTAGGGTTTAGGGTTTATAGAAATTAAAAGGGTTTGGGTCCCAAAAACGTTTTGAACGAAACGTTTCGCCGAAACGTTTTGAACGAAACGTTTTTTTTTGCGAACCATGTTTCCAAATTTCTTGGGGGCTGCGAAATGTTTTGAACGAAACTTTGGAGCGAGACGTGTTGACCGTCTTGGGGCTGAGGCTGGGGCTGGTCTTTCGTGGCCTGCTCTTGACCTTTCGTGGCCTGCTCTTGGCCTTTCGTGGCCTGCTCCTGGCCTTTCGTGGCCTGCTCCTGGCCTTTCGTGGCCTGCTCCTGGCCTTTCGTGGCCTGCTCCTGGCCTTTCGTGGCCTGCTCCTGGCCTTTCGTGGCCTGCTCCTGGCCTTTCGTGGCCTGCTCCTGGTGGCCTGCTCCTGGTGGCCTGCTCCTGGCCTTTCGTGGCCTGCTCCTGGCCTTTCGTGGCCTGCTCCTGGCCTTTCGTGGCCTGCTCCTGGCCTTTCGTGGCCTGCTCCTGGCCTTTCGTGGCCTGCTCCTGGCCTTTCGTGGCCTGCTCCTGGCCTTTCGTGGCCTGCTCCTGGCCTTTCGTGGCCTGCTCCTGGCCTTTCGTGGCCTGCTCCTGGCCTTTCGTGGCCTGCTCCTGGCCTTTCGTGGCCTGCTCCTGGCCTTTCGTGGCCTGCTCCTGGCCTTTCGTGGCCTGCTCCTGGCCTTTCGTGGCCTGCTCCTGGCCTTTCGTGGCCTGCTCTGGCCTTTCGTGGCCTGCTCCTGGCCTTTCGTGGCCTGTGGCCTGCTCCTGGCCTTTCGTGGCCTGCTCCTGGCCTTTCGTGGCCTGCTCCTGGCCTTTCGTGGCCTGCTCCTGGCCTTTCGTGGCCTGCTCCTGGCCTTTCGTGGCCTGCTCCTGGCCTTTCGTGGCCTGCTCCTGGCCTTTCGTGGCCTGCTCCTAGCCTTTCGTGGCCTGCTCCTGGCCTTTCGTGGCCTGCTCCTGGCCTTTCGTGGCCTGCTCCTGGCCTTTCGTGGCCTGCTCCTGGCCTTTCGTGGCCTGCTCCTGGCCTTTCGTGGCCTGCTCCCTTTCGTGGCCTGCTCCTGGCCTTTCGTGGCCTGCTCCTGGCCTTTCGTGGCCTGCTCCTGGCCTTTCGTGGCCTGCTCCTGGCTTTCGTGGCCTGCTCCTGGCCTTTCGTGGCCTGCTACTGGCCTTTCGTGGCCTGCTCCTGGCCTTTCGTGGCTTGCTCCTGGCCTTTCGTGGCCTGCTCCTCGCCTTTCGCGGCCTGCTCCTGGCCTTTCGTGGCCTGCTCCTGGCCTTTCGTGGCCTGCTCCTGGCCTTTCGTGGCCTGCTTCTGGCCTTTCGTGGCCTGCTCCTGGCCTTTCGTGGCCTGCTCCTGGCCTTTCGTGGCCTGCTCCTGGCCTTTCGGCCTGCTCCTGGCCTTTCGTGGCCTGCTCCTGGCCTTTCGTGGCCTGCTCCTGGCCTTTCGTGGCCTGCTCCTGACCTTTCGTGGCCTGCTCCTGGCCTTTCGTGGCCTGCTCCTGGCCTTTCGTGGCCTGCCTGGCCTGTGCCTGCTTCCTTTCGTGGCCTGCTCCTGGCCTTTCGTGGCCTGGTCCTGGCCTTTCGTGGCCTGCTCCTGGCCTTTCGTGGCCTGCTCCTGGCCTTTCGTGGCCTGCTCTTGGCCTTTCGTGGCCTGCTCCTGGCCTTTCGTGCCTTTCGTGGCCTGCTCCTGGCCTTTCGTGGCCTGCTCCTGGCCTTTCGTGGCCTGCTCCTGGCCTTTCGTGGCCTGCTCCTGGCCTTTCGTGGCCTGCTCCTGGCCTTTCGTGGCCTGCTCCTGGCCTTTCGTGGCCTGCTCCTGGTGGCCTGCTCCTGGCGTGGCCTGCTCCTGGCCTTTCGTGGCCTGCTCCTGGCCTTTCGTGGCCTGCTCCTGGCCTTTCGTGGCCTGCTCCTGCCTTTCGTGGCCTGCTCCTGGCCTTTCGTGGCCTGGATTTGAACCTGGATTTGGGGCCTGGGGCCTGGTCAATTTGGGGGGTGGATTTGGGGCCTGGTGCCTGGATTTGGTACTGAGCCTGGATTTGGGGTCTGGAGCCTGGATTTTGGATTTGGGACTGGATTTGGGGTCTGGAGCCTGGATTTGGGCATGGGGCCTGGAGTTGGGGCCTGGCCTGGAATTGTGACTGGAGCTTGGATTTGGGGTCTGAACCCTGGATTTGGGGGCTTGGATTTGGGGGTCTGGAGCCTGGGGCTGGGGCCTGGATTTGGGGCCTGGGGCCTGGATTTGGGATTGGGCCTGGATTTGGGGTGGGCCTGGATTTGGGGTCTAGAGCCTGGATTTGGGACTGGGCTTGGGGCTGGATTTCGAAGCTTGGATTTGGGGTGGGCCTGGGAGCCTGGGGTCTGGGGCCTGGGCTTGGAGGGCCTGGTGCTTGGACCTGGATTTGGGGGATTGGAAAGTGGGCCTGGGTTGGAGGTTATGGAGAAATTGGTTTATCAAGAAGCTTGTTCCGTTTTTGATCGGGTGGCTGTTTTGAGTTGGTTGGGCTGAGTTAATGGTTGAAGTTGTGGTTGTGCGAAATTGGATTATCAAGAAGCTAACGCCAGTTTTATCCGAAATGCTGGGCCTTAGCGGTGGTTACAAACAAGGACAAGCAATTTCTATTTATCACTTTCTTGAGGGTTTAGGGTTTAGGGTTTAGGGTTTAGGGTTTATAGAAATTGTATAAGGTTCAGGTCCCGAGTTTTGAGCGAGTTTTGAGCGAATTTTGAGCGGGTTTTGTTTTTTGCTTTTGCATTTTGATTTAGGCAACTGGGAGCTGCTGGGGGCTGCTGGGGCTGCTAGGGGCTGCTGGCGGCTGCTGGGCTGAGGGCGAAATAGTAGCAAAATGCAGTTTTTAAAGCGGAAGCTGCGCTGCTTGAGTGAGTTTTGACAGATTCTTTTTTGATTTTTGGCATTGCTTGGGCTGGGCTGGGCGACTGGCGGGCTCTGGCTTGGGGTCCGGGTTGGGGGCTGGGCAGGCTGCTGGGAGGGTTTGGGTCCGGGGTTTTGAGCGAGAGCTATAGGGATCTGGGCTGGGCTGGGCAGGGCTGGTGCAGGTCTGGGCGCTGCTCGCCTGAGCAGGGCTGGTGCGGGCTGCTGACTGCTGGTCTCTTCAACCTCGTGAGCTTTTTTGGGAGCCTCTTGGACCTTTTCTTGGTTCAAGTCGAAAATGTTGTGTGAACTGAAACAATGGTTGTACCACCTTTTGGTTCAGCTTGCCTGCGTCACGCGGCTCACAGGTTACCATGGCGGATTTGCCTACGGGGCTGCATGAACTGAACTACCCTTGTCTGTTCCTTCGTAAAGTTGTCGGACAAATGTTGCGACCTTGCATGTACATACATATCATAGAAACTGTGAGAAGTGCAAAGACCATGCAGGGAATTGAGCCAGTGGACACAAGTTGTGGCGATCTTCTCCATATCATGGACTCTTCAGCGATGCGTTTCAGAATCGGAGTCATGCCTTGTATTGGTCTTGCGCACCTTGCTTTTCTGCGCCACTTGCCTGTGCTGGTTCCGCAAGTCGAAGCAGTTGTCGTTGGTGAAACATCCACGCGCGGGAGCAGCTCTGGTGCTGTGCTCCGCACACCTGGGAACTCGAAGTTTCATATGTGGCGAATGGAATAGGTCGGGTGCTGCTGCAGAGAGTCTTCTAACTCAGCGCGAGAGAGTAGTGCCGGTCGCTCCTGCAGGGAGTCCAGCAGGACGAAATGATTGCTGTTCCAACGCTTCAGCGCTACCCAGTGCCGACCGTTTAGGTTCTGGATGGCGCCGAAGCACTCATCCAAATCCTCTTTGACCAAAGCTCTCTGGTCAGATACTTGCCAGCAGAGACGATTGAACATTTGCATGGATTTGCTCCGCACAGCCATGAAAAGGATCTCGATGGAGTAGTCGCCTTCAGGACCCATGTGGAGGCCCAGATCGTCGCCAAGTTCCCAGTTCTCCTCGAGGAAAGCCGCTGCAGCCTGCTCGAGGTCGATTACCGTGAAATGACTTGCGCCCAAAGCATTGTTCAATGCATGGATGCCGCACCTGAGTTCCACCTGCTTCTCGAAGTAACACGGGAACTCCTCCAGGTTCTGCCCTTCTAGTTCTTGTTCTGGGCTTCCCTGTCTTGTGGCCTTCGCTGCTGGAGTCGATGGCGGTGGCTCATCTGCTTTGCGCTTGCTGCTGCTGCTGCTGCTGCTGCTGCCTGCTGGCGTTGCTTTGGCGTTGGCCAGGACTTTGGGCTTGGCTGCTTGGGCCTTGGTCTTTGCCGTGGCTTTGGTCTTGCCTTTTGCTTTGGGCTTGGCAGGACATTGCTTCTTGTGCTTGTTGATGGCGGCCTTTGTGTCGGGGACCTCCTCGCCGCAATGGGGGCAGCTCCATCCGGGCATTCCCAGCTTTGCTTCTTCCTCCTCTTCCAGGCGTCTTTTCAGCGCTGCCCAATCTGGGGTGCCCATCTCGGCCAGCTTTTCGTGATAGAAGTTCTTGCTTCTGGAGGGCTTGAACAGTTGTGTCCACAACTGGGATCCGTGTCGTTCCGCCTGTTGGGCTTTCAATGTTGTCAGCGCCCACTCTGCATTTTCATTGAAGCGCAGCGACTTGGGATTGAAGAGCTCCAAGGTGCAAAGGGCTTGGGTCGGACAACGACTCAAAGCCACGTAGGCCTGACCCTCTTGTCTACAAGTGGCATCCAAGCGGGCATGGGCGCCGTCGTGTAGGGTGGCCGCTTGGCTCTTGTGTATGGTGATGGCCTTGGCGACCACGAGCGGGAATTGCAGTCTCGACGCCTTCTTACCCTCCTTGTCGAAGAAGGTAGCCGACACGCGTGAAATTGCAACGTAGTCGCGCTCCTTCTCTGCCCGCCATTTGGCCCCCGCATTCTTCTCGAACTCAATCCAAATATTCTCAACCTCGCCTGTCTCATCGTCCACGTCTATCTCCATCACAATGCCACAGGCTCCGTTGACCAAGCCGTCCTGGACGTCGAGGTTGCGCTTGAGCATGACCCGGATGCCGGTCGCGATGCCAAGCAGTGCCACCAAACCACCTGTGTTCTCCTCTTCGGCCCACCCTGCATCCTCGGACAGCGGTGCCCCAGTGTTCAAGCAGCTGTCGAACGCAGGGCATTCGTACAGTCGGGTTCCGGTCCTGTCGATGTGCTCTTGCGTGTACTGGCTGTTCCTTTGCCTGACTGCTTGGCGCGTGGCGTACAGGTGCACTGCCTTGGGAGAGGGCTGCTTGCCGTCGTTCTTCTTGACGACCATGCTGTGAAGCTCTCGGATGTCCTCGTCCGTGCACTTGCCGACACGAACGCGGGCCAGGAGAGCTGCCCATTTGGGATCCTTAGCAGCGCGCTGGTTTCCTTCCAGCTCACAAAGCTCGAACAACCTCCATAGGCTACTGTGGAAGGACGGCAGGCCCCCTGGTGGTGGAAGCTGATAGAGGTCTCCAGACAAAACCACATGCAGGCCTCCAAACGGAATGGTCGACACGTCCCTCGCCAAACGGAGGTGTTTGTCGAGCCTCTCCATCATCCAGGAAGAGACGAAGCTCATTTCATCGATGAAGAGTACCGACACCAGCTTCCAGATGCTTTGCAGGGATGCCAGCTGCGGGCCGCTTGGCAGTGGCAAGTCACAAGCCTTGCCGTAGCTTCTGTTGACAACAGGCAGTAGACAGCAGGCGTGAAGGGTGACGCCGTTGAGGTTCCAGGCCGCCACGCCTGTCGGCGCTGCAATGATCACTCCGACACGGCCTTGTCTGAGCATGTTGGCCGCGGCGCGCACCACCACAGACTTTCCGCTACCACCCGGCCCATGCATGAGCATGTGAAGGCGGTCACTGTTATTGGTGTCCTTGGTATTGGGCCGCCTGAGGACGTAGTCGACGATGTAGTCCATGGCTGCCTTCTGATGTTTCGTTTCGGGGCTTGGGTTCTGTGTCGTCAGCATTTCGAAGGCTTCCTCTCCGCCTTCTACCGGTGCGAAGGCATCGCCGGCAGCCCCTGTTGGCACGTGATCTGGCGGCAGGAAGTCGATCTCGCCACCATACCGCTCTTTCAATGCCTCCATAATCTTCAAAGAGTCTTCGTAATTTTCCTGGGCGATCTTGCTGTTGGCCCATCCATCCCATGCATCGTCGGGACGCATCTTCGCCTTCATGTACATGACCGCCTGGACGGCTTGCAGCTTCCGGGCTGCATGTACAGTCCCATCCATTTCGGGGAAACACTTTGACCGGAGGAAGTCTGGGTGGCCAGTCGTGTCCCGAGCAACTCGTCGAAAGGCTGCTGCGTGGCTTCCGTTGTCCCCCTCTTGCAGCCAGTCTCCTGGCTCTACCCAGACCAAGTACAGCAACAATTTGGAGTAGTAGAAAGCTTCCGGTTCGAGGTCAGGACTGAAGTTCCGGTAGGCGACGATCGCAGGTCGCCTTCGTCGCTGCGGCTCCCCACCGATGAACTTGAAGGCTGCGCAGAAATCCAGAAAGTTCACCTCCGAGAAAAGACAGCTCTTGAACTTGCCACCCTCCACCGGAATCTCGACTGTCTCTTCCCCGAACCTGCGTTGCATCTCCCGGTACCGCTTCTGGGCCACGGGCATGGAGTCCTCGAGGTCCAGTTTCTTGCTGCGGTATTTGCCTGGTCCCTTCAGGGCCATGCTCTCCTCGTTCTTCGGTACTGACAAGGTCCAAGTTTCTGGTGGGCCTACCTGGATCCACTCGTTGTCCCTAGAGAACTCGACGACGGGGAAGCCCAGCAGCAGGTGGCAGGCTTCGAACGTCGATGTGGTTCTGCCCTGCAGCGCAGCGTGGGCGGCTTTGTAGACCTGCTGTTTGCCGAGGCCGGCACCGTTGTTGCTGTTGCTGGAGGTGAGGCTCGCGACGATATTCTCCACACGCTGTTGTGCCTGCTTGTCCTGCTCCGATTTCATGGCATAGC